AATCTGAAAACCGATTTAAATTTGTCATGAAGTTTACTTGAGATCGGTCAGCGTACTTTTGTTGATATCTTATTTCTACTACGCATAAAACACGTTTGAACATTTTATAAAATTTTAAAATCAAATTTGGAAAGGGTTAAAATTAAAAATTTGAAAAAAGTGCTCTGACCAATCTCAAGTAAGCTTCATGAAGAATTCATATCTGTTTTTAGATTGCTTATCGGATAAATGGTTCGGCCTGTGCGATGGACAAAAAACGATATGTTATGACTGAAAAAAAAAGGTCGGTATCCAGGGGCCTTAATTACATATGTATATGACACTAAATTACTAAAACAGTTGGAAATTAAATGTTAAAACATATTTAAATATAGAGACGAGAAAATATTTACCTATTTAACTTGTTTACAATGCGCTAAATTTTGTATTTTAAATGACTTCGTAAGTATTATAATATTTCAAATATAAAATGGTAACAATCAGTCTACCTAACTGTTTAATAAATTTAAAGAATATAAAATGGGTGAATGTGTTAATATTGTATAAAAAATATTATAGCATACTACTATTATAGTAGGGATATAATAGGGATTTTCTGAATATTATTTTTAAGAACAAAACAATAAAATTAAGAGGGGCTGAAGAAGTAGAAAAGTGCAACAGAATTATAGAATTAAATATTCATCCCATCGAAAACTATAAGTAAATTAGCGTTAATAATAGTTAAAAAATAAAAATATAAAGAGTAAAGAACATGCATATTATGTATGTAAATAAACAATAATTATTATATAATAGGATTGTTTAATTTTTACTACATTGTGCGTACCATTTAAAATAACTTAAAATATAGTGCCTACACCAGAATATCCCTTAGGGGCTGCCTTGAAAGTAACTCATGCTTACAGCTAGTACCCAAACCCTGCCTGTTAGTTGTTGACAGTTATTCGTGACATGCAATAGTCTTTTAATAATTTAAGTTAACAGGTAATCACCTAACCGTAAATCAACGTTTACTTAAAATGTTAATTTATGCTTAAATGCTATTTTTCTTTATTATGCTCGTGGTTACCTTAAAATGTGCTTTTTAATTTTCTGTTTTGTTTTAAACGATTTTTGGCAGTAATTGCAGTCAAACGACGGTGTTGGCTCTTCTTCAGCATCAAACAGTTCATGCCTAACGATTTCTATTTCTGATTCAAAAACACAGTCGTCGAAGCGTTCTTTTTCAATTTTTATATTCAAATCGTCGTTATTGCAGCTAAAACTACAACGAACAAAATTTTAAAACTTTATATTATTGTATTAAAGTTTTTAAAAAAATATACAATTTTAAAAAAACAGATATTGAGAAATAGGCAAAAAATTAGATTTTTAGAATACTGATGTTAAATTTATAAGATATAAAACTTAAATTATATTAGGTTTTAAGTTAATGTTTTGTTTTTTCAGTAGGTAACTAACGGATGAGCTTTTAAACATTTAGTCGTGTATATGATTATTGCTAAATAGATAATAATAATTTTGTTTTATATAACTTTTATTGAAAACAAAGGTACCTTATCAAAAATTGGGAATTTTTTTTTAAAAGAACATAATATCTGACACCACTATTACTAACTATTTGATTTCATTACAGGATATAATCTAAAACATTTTGATAATATTACTAAAAAACATAATTGTTTTATGAGACATAGTAATCCAAGTATAGGCTAAATTATCTAAAATTAACTGTAATCATCTGACAAAAACTGATTATGCAGCAAAAAAACACTGCCTTACGTTAAAATATTTTCACCGTCCAATGTGCTTAAAATTATATTTTTAATTTAGAGTCAATACAAATAGGAATGATCGTCTGTCTATAATAGTAATATTGTTTCCCTGATACCATAATTATCATAAACATAAAAAAATATTTCCTAGTCACGTAGAAATTCACAACGGTCATAGTCAAATATCCAATTTTTTGGTTTTATCTTTAAACAAAAAACTTCTTAGATACAGTTCGAAGCATTTAAAAAAATAAAAAAATACAATATTATTCGACTGACGACCTTTACTTTTAAATGAGTTATGAAATAGTTTAGTAGAATACTGGTATCAGTAAAGCGTTTTAACTACGCAATAAAAATAACAAATACCTATTAGAAAAAATGTATCTTATTATAATTATTTTTAAAAAGTTTTACTATCAGAGCATTGTATCTTTTTGGATACAACCAATAAATCCAGTTAGAGAAGTGCAACTAAGGTAAAAGTGTTTATCTAGTTATATCCAATAAAAGTTAGTTTATGGCTTAGTTATAAATTAGATTACTTATAGTCTATATGCATAAAGGTTTTAATAGGGCGACTTAATTTAACAATTTTAACAATTTTATTTATTAACAAATATAGTTATAACAATAATATAATAAAGAATAATTTAGTTGACATGATTTGAAAAATAAAAAACCAACAAAGTTTTGCGTGGTAGGTATATTTTGTTTTTGTACACTTGTAAAACTAAATTTTAATTTACTTAAATTATATTGATAACACAAGTGTGCTGCTAAGTATAAGTGCAAGTATGACTTGTGGGTAAGAAGCTAAGACACTAAAGATTAAAGCTAGACAATAGACCATTATGCCGACTAGAATTATTTAAAGTGGTGTTGATCCCGTATCACTCGACTCAACTCAAATCCAGTGTATGAAGTACACTGGATAGTACATAGTACCTACCTTTAAGGATACATGAGATTTTGTACTTTAATAATTAAAAAAGTGATTGGCTTTTTTTTAATATTAATAAATTACTTAGATGTTTTGATTTTAAACTATTTTTTATTTTATAATTCGTCAGTTTCGTGTTTATTGTTGGGTACATTTTAATGCTCATTGACTCAGTAATTAACAAAACCCAAGATATTACTCTACTGTATATTCAGGCTTTTATCTAGACATATATCAATAAATTGGCCTTTTGTGTAAGCATAGAAGGTCTATTAGCTAAAAAGAGTAGCAAAATTTTGGATTTCTTTATATTAATTATTTATATTTGATTCACTATTATACCATAAACAGTATATATTTTACTGAAAATTTTGACTGATCGATAACAAGATTTAATTAAACTTTAATGTTTAATACAACATAAACCCCAATGATTTATAGTGGCTTAAAATCAAGCTAACAATAGAATTAACGCTGCACGCACAGACGTTATGAAAGAACAACGGAATGTACTCTACTGTAATGAGTTATCAGTTATCATTGCTTTGGGAAGATTTGCTCTAGCATTTAAACATTCGATTGCGACACAATATTAAATATTTTATTTAGTGACAAACATAGTAATAAATAATAATCATTTTAATAAAGAATAATTTAGTTTACATTTTCTGAAAATTAATGACTAACCAAGTTTTGTTTGGTATATTTTGTTATTGATTTTTGAATTAAAATTTTGTATACGACATATTAAGACATTCTATTATATGTTAATAATACAATTACGTTAAAATATTTGGCCCGCTAGAGATCTCACCCCAACTCAAAACTTAAAAGTACTTATACATAAAATACTAAATTTACAGTGTTTTTATGTAATGTAATCTCAATTTACCACAAATTTTAATGTTTTTCTGTTTAATTGAAGTCACATTGTATAAAAACATCATGAAAAAAAAATGTAATTATTAATTAAAACCAATGCGATATTGAAGGGTTAACGATAAGTATATATGGTATGTTTATTCTTGACACGTCTTATTTATCGTTTTAGTATCATCGGCCATAAAAAAAAAATTAACACAAGGTTAATACACCGTAGTTTATTTTGTAAAATTATTTCAGCTTTCTGAAAAAAAAAAAAAATTTTAATTACCCCTGACGAGTGTATTAAGTACAAGTGTTATTTATTACCGATGGATGTTTGTTTTTATATTGTCCTTTTAAATAATTTAGCAGAGTCCTGGGGTGTACAACACTTTTATCGTGAACCACTCAATATCTCTTAGAGTTAAATAAGAAATTTAATTTTGAATTTTTTTTTATTGTTTGTTATTGGGGATGGGCCGATACCACTTTTTATATTTATATACCTTTATACCAATGTATAAACGTTATGAACATAGATTGTGATGGATTTTGCTTCGGTCTGTATATATTTAATCAAGTATACAATACATATTTTTACTCATAAATATTATAAAATGCAGGTGTTGGTATCATGAAAAACGACCTATTTGTGTTTGTGAATAATAGAGGAAAACTTCATTGTGAAAGATATGACAGAGGAAAAAATCGATGGCAATTGGTTGAAAGGGCTGGTAAAAAGTTATTATCTCTAACAAGTCATATCATTACTTTCAATCATATTAGGTACACTTTATAACATTTGTGAATTCAATTTAGTCTTGAAATTATTTACACTTTTTGTTGTTGATTTTTTATTTATATTCGTTAATACTTCGGGAGAACTTCATTTTTAAATATATTACACAATGAAATCATGGCGTCTGGTTGTCACGGCAGAAGAGATACCAAACGTTTTTGTTGTAATATTGTTTTTAATGATGTTACTTTGAAATCATATTACGGTATTAACTTATAATATTACTTGTTATATCCTGTGAGTAAAAATTAGTTTTAAAATTATTAATTTTTTTTCGGTTACAAAGTACAAACTATGTATTATTTATGTAATATTAGAGGTTGCAATATGCTGGAACAGGTGGAGGGGAATCCCTTAGTTAGCTCCTGTTGTGTTGTACCTCTAATTAATTTTCAGTTATAATTATAAAATTAGCACCTGTTTGGTTGAGAATCTATTATGTTATAGTTTGCAATAGCTATAAAGAAGTTTTTAAGGCGAATGAGGTAGGTATCAAAAACACATGTATATACAGGCATGTTGATTGAAATATTTTGTGTAATTAATTATTATGACATTATATTGTTGTTAAAAACAAAACTATTATAATTTCATGTTTATTTAAAATTCAAAAATATGTATCGTTATTCGACAATAATTGTGATTAGGTTTATTATTTTATTCATGGTTCTTACAATAAAAAGTTTTTTTTTTTGTATTCCAAAAAGTATCATTCTTCTTTGATAAATATATTGTCAAAGAGCAGTCCAGATGTATTAAATACAATTTGTTTTCCGAACTTTTCATCACCAAGTATCTTGAGTTCATGAAGCTTATAGATAACATCAACGTAGGCAAGAGACTCGAAACTAATAGGAAAGTAAAATAAAATAGTTATATAACTTAATTTTTTAAATATCCTGAACAATTGCGTAGGTATTGCTTAAAAAACGTAAGAGGCCACTTGCTCTCGATTGTATTAAATATCTATTTGAAATATGTTTTTTAGGAGACATCATCATAAAAAATTTCGAAGACAAAGAAGAACAAAAAAAAAAAATACATCAATTTCCCTATAGGAGATACCTATTTGGATTGGCCACGTGAAACACGCTGTATAATGGTGAAATCGTGTTCATTATAGCCAATCTGTAAATTGGAAGTCGTTCACTTGAGGTAATGTCAACAATTAAAAAATGTCCCTTTTTCCTTTAAATTAAAAAAAATATATATCCTAATTATCAGCGATTGAAAACGTGCTAAGCTAAAAACTACTTTATTTGTTATAACGCATACAAATTTTATTAGAATTATTGTTAGTATGATAGTCTGGAAGCTTAACTGATTTTGACCTTGTAAAAAAATAAGTTGACAATTTTTGGTTTTTTCAAGTATAGCGTTGTTAAGAATATTAATACTCACTCTGGTTTTATAACTAAGAACGGATCTGTAAAGCAGAACAGGTTTTTAGAAAAATATAATACATTATATAAAATGTTTTACATAATTGTAAAATATTTGTGTTCAAATATTTTGCCATAAGTGTAGCAAATGGTGGGCACCCCCTTCCCCTACCTACAAATTAATGTAAGTTTAAATTACAGTTTTAACTAAATTTAAAAAAAAAAAAACTAAGCACAGTAAGAAAACTTAAATCAAATATAGTTGATACAACAGTATAATAATTTTGAAAACGTATTATTTAAAATTATAAATAACAAAATATTGTAATGAAGCATAAACACAAATATTTCCAAAAAGAAAAACTAATATATATCTATTATTACTTAAATGAAAATTAAAAAAATTCATAATACCTACCTAGATTGACGTGATGCTTATATATTTCTGCAATGAAAATATTAACATAATTTTACTTGAAACTAAATTAAAAAAATTCCATATTTACTTGTATCTTTATGTTGTGGATTTACATTATCTGCAAGGAAAATTTTTATAAAATAAAATGTTATCTAAGAGCCCATTTTGCTAGAAGTTTTACCTTGTTCTGCAAACATCATAAAAGCCTCATCTGCAATAAAAAAAGATATTATTGGAATTTAACAAATGAATTAACTACTCGATTATTAACCGACTACAATACTAGTTAATATTAAAATATTCGGTAATATTCTTGTTTGATTTTGATAAGAAAACAATAGACTCTAATTTTAATCAACGACTAAAGTTTATTTTAAAAAATCAAACATTTTCATTGGTTATATTACGGCAAATCTAATGGTTGTCTTAGTCAAATTTGGAAAAAAATGTTGTACTTCATAATTAATAGAGAAGGATGGAATTAGATTTGAATGAAAATCATATTATTATTTTCATAATTTTATTTTGTGGCGAATTTCAAGTTTGAGAGTTTAAACTTGTAGTTTAATGTACTATACACATTATAGTACTATTCCAACCTCACCAATCAAGTAATTTATAATTTATAATTATGCCATTAATAAATAAATCTTTATTTTTATTCAAATCTACTTCAACAATATTTTCAATATTAATGTATCTTATTGATATATTAAATTATGTGCAATACAGTTAATTTATTTAATATAAAACTATTTTTCTTTATTTTAAGCAAGTATGGAACTTATAAATATAATATACAATATTTTAACAAATAAAACATTAACTTAGTAAGGAACATTTCATTAATTTTGTAAACCGTTACTTTAACGACTCCTAAATTGTTATTGTTGCCATTTTTTTACCTTATTTAGACAGCCAAAAAATGGAAATGTTTTCTACATATATTATTGTCATTTAAAAAATATTTTCATAACGTTTAAATAAATCAGCTCAATCAATTAGAGGTTTTAGAAAAAATTGACATATTACGCTTTTACTGATTATTATGCTTAAAAAAACATTTTTTTAATATGAAAAATAATAATAAGAGGTAGGTTTCAAATTTATTTTGACTATTAAAACGAAAATAAAAAAAAAGCATACATTTTAATATGATTTTATAGTAGCCTGACGTATAATCTTTAGTAAAAATCGCAGTGCTCTACTCCCAACCTACTTATTCATTTTATTTTATTTTATAATTATAATATAATTATTATGAGTATGATAAAAACTTGTACGTTTAGTGTGCTAATATTTTGGCACAGACTGAAACAACACCAAAATATAATAACTCAAAATACCCAATACGCAAAAATTGCCGGTAAGCGTCGCAGCTAAACAAAGACATTTCGGTTATCACATTGTGAACAAACCGTGTTCTACTTTGTTCTGTTTTGCTTTTAACTAAGAAAGTATGCAACCAATATACTATAGTTGCGTTTTGTTTATCGAACGAGTAACACTGATGTTCCGCTTTCGTGTGCCGAATTCGCGCGTTGTGTTTAATAAATATTGTATGAATTTTTTTTAAAAAAATGTTATTAGATCTACACGCGAATATCGCACAACTGCACAGCCAATTGTTAGACCTCCAAGTGAGTAAAATAAACAATACTAATACAAATAAAAAATTCTAGTCATGTAGAGTTACATGACAAAACGGGTTCTAGCTCAGGTCTTCAGCACTTCTGTCAAAACTGTGCCCAAAATATACCAACCGCCACCGATTACGGCTTGTGGTGTTCAAAATATACAACATTTAATCATACACCACCCATCCGAAAGGAAGATGGCACTTGGGCGCGCAGTGAACAAGATAAAGCTGAAGTATACGGACATCATCTCGAACGTGTATTTCAGCCAAACGACATGATTTCTGAACTTTGCTGAACTAAATGTCAGCCACTCATTACCATAAGAGAAATCATACTGCGCTTTACACCACTTGAAGTAGCCCATGAATCATGATACCAACATCAACACGAAAAAGGCACCTGGATACGACGAGATCACAGTTTCGTGTTAGATACAAAGAAGCGACCACTGACTGGAAGAGTACACCTCAAGGTAGTGTCCTCGGACCTATTTTGTACCTACTCTATACAGCTGATATTCCAACTGACGACGACACAACGACAGCCATGTTTGCCGATGACACGGCAACACTGTCAACCAATAAGGACCAACAAGCTGCGACTGAGATCCTACAAGTGACAAACAGACAACGTTTACTACTGGACAAAGCGTTGGAAAATAAAAATCAATAGTGCCAAGTCGGTGCACGCCAACTACACGCTACGTAAAACCGCATATATCCCGGTCAAGCTAAATCAACAGATAATCCCACAAAATGATTCAGCAAAATATCTGGCAATGCACCGTGAAAATCAAAGAAAAAAATGCGCAAACTGTACCGGCTAGTTGGGCGACACTCCGAGCTAGACCTGACCAGCAAACGTCTCCTGTATGTATCGATCGACGACTCAAACGACCGAAGCCATTCGACTTAGTCTAATTATTAGATTAAGAATGGGACTACTTCAATGGAAGCAGAACCCCACACATGTTTTGTATATGTATATATATATATATATATATATATTCTACTCGTACGTATGTATTAATACCCTTTTGATTTATATTTATAAACATTTTTTAATCGTTTAAATAAAAATGCCCTTAGGCAATTATATATATATACTATCCCACAATATATACTAGTTTTTTTAAATTATGCGTAACTTTGTCAATTTTTAAGACACACTATTCAAACATACGGCGTTTAAGAGCTTATAAAAATCTCTTCAGGATTGATTATAACTAATTCTATTTTGACAAGTAGTTTAGCCGATAAAACCCTCGGAATATTGTAACAAAAAAAACAAATTTTATTGCAAATATCCAATCGGTTATATTATTTTAGCTCTTATTGGCATTATCTTTTTTTGTATACACTCACAAAATATCAATAAAATAATAATATTTTTTATAATATTCGAATAGTGGGACTATCCAACATGAATAAAGAGATTTTAAATTTAAGAATAAAAGTAAAAAATTAAAAATAAATAAGAAAAAAAGGCACCAATAATGACCGAGGACCGACTTCACCACCCTATACTGTGATTCAAAATCACAATTAAAAAAAAAAAAATGTATACAATATTCAGAGATTTTATCGTCTAAACTACTTGTCAAAACTCAATTATAGTTATAATAAAGCTTGAAGAGCTTTTTACAAGCTTTTAAATGCCGTATGTTAGAACCGGGTGTCTTAAAAAAATGACAAAGTTATGCGTAATTAAAAAAAAACTAGTATATTTTTAAATGAGAGATAAATAATGCCATTGCGACTGGCCAAAAAAAATCTGACATTTTTTTTTTTTTTAGACACTTTTTATCTGAGATGTACCCATTTTTCATTGTGGAGATGAAAAAAAATTGTTTTGGACCAGTTTAGTATGTATAATTATAAAGATATTTTTCAAATCTCACAAAATTAATTCAACCCACTTCCCAATGACACAGAGGGCTAGAAATTGGTCTAGACACTCAGTTCGGATAAAAACACAATGTTCCCTTATAATATTGAAATTCATTTCCTTTCAAATTACATGTTTTTAAAAAAAAAATGCTTTAACTATTTAAATAGCACTGTAACAACTAAGTTATCTATTCACTATCATTAAATACCTACCTTTAAATAACACTAAATTGTAAAAAATAAATAAAACATTTAAAAAAAAAACAAAGTGCTGGTACGTTTTAATAAATGTGCTACAATTGATTGGTCAATTGTTCTTGTAAAAAAATTATTTTTTACTTTTTAGTTCAATTTTTTTTTACCGTTTTTTAGAAAAGTATGTTTTTTTTTTTAAATTGTATTAATTATTCTTTTACTTGAAAATTACATGTACTATAATATATAGACCCGGCCATATAAATCTAGTTTTAATACTATGACATTTACATAATACTATGAGCTTCATTATAGTTAAGGTAAACACAATTATACTTACCATCAGTTTCTTTATAGATAAGTAAGTCATCTCTATCAAATTTGCCTGTAAAAAAAAATTATAAATGTTTTGTATATATTTTAAATTGTGGATTCTGGTTAAACACTGAAATATTCATTATACGTACCAACAGATGCAAACGTACAGACAACACAGACAGATAAAACAATAAAATAGTAACTGATAGATGCCATTGTGATGCGGATAAGAGTATATTCGGGTAAACGAGAATTTCAAACGTTAAGGACAACTGTAGGATTGTGATGGAATCTAACGAATGAAGGTCGGGTCACCTATGTCGGCCCTTTTTACAAAAAAATATAGGTATTTCACCTGATCATACAGAGAAAACAACAATAATTTTAAAAAAATAGGCAGGGGGAGTCGGGGATAGTGAACAGGGAGTAGACATGAACCACCTTTTTTTAAATTTCGCGTTATCGAGACGGCAGTTGAATCAAAACGTGCCTTACCACGCAATATATTCACCAATGTGGCAACACTCAGTCCCGGACTCCCCCTACATTAAAAAACAAAAATACCAACCCAAATGTAATGTATGTGCCAACGATTTGCGGGGCCTTAGGTTTTTAGTTTGCGCAGAAAGCAGGTAAAACATATAAGAAAGCGTTTGAGTTGAATAAATATTTTTCACATTCGATTAGGTCAATATAAGCGACCTAGAAAAATGTGAAAAAGGCTCAAAGTTTAGTTTCACGGTTTTTTTTTTTTTGGATCACCTTAAGGGGCCTCTTCGCGTGCATATTTTTGGTCGGAAACAACACATTCTACTTGAATCGTGTCGTAGTTTAGCTGTAGACCAAACCTGGGCATTATTTGTAGTATTTTTTAAACGATTTCGTCATTTAGCAAGTCTATAGATCACAAAGCATACATGGAATATACAGTTTAGTTAGATGGTCGTTAAAAAAGTTTACCCAGTTAATTCATAAAAAAAATAGGTACTGGAAAGTAAAAATTTCAATATTTTTTACTGTCCTGTTTAAAATAGTGTATTCACATTACACGTTATTATAATACCTTTGTATAATTGGTATAGTGGCCAAATCTGGCACTTCAATCTTATGCTATAATATTCTTTCTCTATATCCAATTGCGAATTAAACAAAACCAACCGATGAGTAAGGAGTAAACATCTGGCGTAAGGTATTGTCGAATTCGAGAAAAACATTTTCTATACATACAATAAAAAGTGAAAAGTTGTTCGCACGTGTAACATAATACAATGGTTAAGCAGTTTTTTTCGAAAAAAAAACAACATAATAAATCATTGCGAATCGTATTACACCTTGAACTAGGCACGCAAGCTAAAAATCAAATAAAATGGGTTTTTTATATCCATACTACAGAGTACAAAGAAAATGTCAATGTTAGATTTAAGAGTAAACTTGATAAAATCGAGTACAAAAAAACAAAAGAAGCGCCCTTTAAAAAACGTATTACCCTACCTTTACGATTTTAAGGTAAAAATAAAATAAAATGTGTTTTTTACCTTGAACCCTGTTCAATACTATATGGGTAACAACAAATATTTTTAGCCAGACAATATAATGTGCATATTGAAAATATTATATTGTAATAGGTAGCTGTAACTTTCAAAGTACTTGTCCGACTTAGCAAAATAATACCTATGCAAAATACTTGACATTATATAGCTCGGTCTTATGTATTTAACAATTTTATTATATTTGTAATGTTTTCCCATTATCAAATTATACTTAGATAAGACATGTACGTTTTCTGAAAATTAGGCAATACTTGGTATAATTTATTCATAGAGAATAGCCTCGTAAAAATCATATTAAACTGAACGTAAACGAGAGCTTTGTACAAATGTGTCTTTAACGACAATGAAATAATTTTATCGCAATCAAAAAACGAAAATAATTATTCAAAAACTAATACTCAAATAACAAATCACTGAGTGTATTAAAATTTCTTTAGAAAAGATATCTTAGCTCCGATGCAGAGCGGCAAAGGTATTGGTTTTACTCTGATATGAGGTTTTTTTTTTATCTGTATACACTGTAACTTATATAATACTGGACCAATTCCTTTGAGCAGAAACTCTAAAAATCACAAAATTCATCTATTTGGTACTTTGGGAAGGGGGTAAAAGTTAAAAAAATTTACTTCTTCACAGTCGAAATTTGAAAAAAACAAAAAAAAAAACCGTATGAGTTTTTAAGTTAGAACTTTTACTGACTATAATTTCGAAAAAAAGAGTCCGATCTTCTCAAAAAGTCTTGACTAGCAGAAATACGCCTATCAGCTAGTGTTGCTAACCCAAGTTTATTTTATTTGAATTAAGTTGAGTTGAATTTTATGAGGAATATTTATTTGGTATACTCGCACACGTCAGTTGATATCAAATTTAAATTATACCCATTTCCTACCCTCCTAAGGGGGGTACAAGTTTTTTTGTTTTTTGGGGTTTTTAGCCGTAATTTTAAGACCTTTTAGTTGAAAATTTGCCAGTAGTTAGAACTCATATGTATCCAAAACATATTAAACGGAAAACAAATTTGGCACTACAGTTTTTCTTTAATTTCCGGAAAGTTGTGTTTTTCGCAGATTCCGTACATTTTAACAAAAACCCCTAAAATCTTAAAAATGTCGGTTGGTACCCGTGTTAGGTTAGGTTAGGACCCAACGGTCGGTATCATAATATTGTGTTTACTAGTAGGGAGGTTGTAAACGAGCTGGTTCGGATGACCATTGAGTTTAGAGTGGAACCTTGCATAGTAAATTATGGCAGTTTAGTGAACCGTTTTGGCGTTTAAGTCTGAACAATTACTTCGATTGATGCAAACGCGACTATTTATGTATTATCTTTTAAGATATATTGTAAACTTCAAAGTCCAATAAAATTCTATTTTACTAAAAAACAGATTAACATAAATGTCTAAATTTATTATCCATACAAGTTGCTATAAGTATATTGCAAAATCACCCTTCCCTAAAATCCTCTTATCGAAGGGGGAAAAATTACAATGACCTTGAAATAACATTGTATTACAAAAAATAACCCAAAAACAATTCACGTAAATTGTTTTTTTTTTTATTATTCTAGAAAATCGTCAATAAATCGGGTTGGCCATGAATTTCTTAAGACCTTGAATTTGTCGATTCGTATATTTCAATTTATGTAAACTGTGGAAATGGGAACGCATATCGAACAACCCAAGTGTTTTTCTATAGTAGAAAAATTGTGTTTTCAAGTTAGAGCTTAGGCGAGAATTCGCTAAATAATACTTCCATAGAAAATCGTACATATAAATTTTTATTTACTTTTGAACTCGGTGTAACTTTTGGAACACATGCGACAATGTGCGAAATTATACAAAATCCTCACTCTCTAACAATTTAGATACAATATTTATACACCTAACCAATGGTCTTATCATTAATGACTTATTGGCTCGTATTGGCCTAAAACGGAACCCCTAATTTGTTGAAAATTGTCCACCATCTTTTATGGTCTCTGCCGTTTTAAATATTTTCAAATTGAGCGGAACTCAAAGCAGCAATTTTTGAAAATTGATAAAAAACGATTTTATTGAACTCAAACCGAATGTTTAAACGTCATGGTTTGAAGATGGAATTGTAGTATTTCTTTTTTGAAAACATTTTTGGTTATCATATCTTACAATATTATAAAAATACTAAACATTAATCTTTTTTTAAAATTATTTTCCATAAGCCTATCAACTTTTAAAAACTTAAATAGCAACTTGTGTACATATTTAATTTACTATTCAAACTGAGAATTATTTTCTGAATAGTATACCGGTCGGTAACCAGTTTTGGCTAATTACTTTGTGAGTTATTCAACATTAAAAATTAGGACGGGAGGAAGGGTGGAGTGAAATATTATTTTTTCTGCTGGCACTACGCTTCTGTAAAAATACTGAGCTGTGAAAAAAAAAATTAGAAAAGGTAAATGTTTAGTAATAGTTTTATAATATTGTAAAATAACACCAACTTAAGTGTCTCCAATTATTATAAAAACTACAAGAATGTTATTATTTTAAGAGAAAACTAGTGTCCTGTCCTTAACGAATTGATCAATTTTCTAGTGTATTTTTATTTATCGAAAATAGTAGAATAACATATTTTTGTAATGTACTTGAAGGTACATGTGTATTAATATTGGGTGTTTGCTTTACAACGATTTATCATTTTGTTTTCTTTATCGATGTGCAAAAAAGTAGCCATAAGAAACGAATTTAGCAAAATAACGACCGGAAAGGCATAAAACTTTTCCTAAGGGTATAAAATGTTCATGGTCAGACATGAATTGACGTTTAACCCAACCAACGTTTCTGTAAAAAATTTCTTGGTTTTTTCGGTAAAAAAAAATATAATACTGCTACAGTTTTTTATACTTAAGCATAGTAAATCAAGACTGTCTCATTTCGATTTGAGGCGTTTTAACTTTCAACTTGATAGTAGTTCTTAACCAGATGACACTGGTGAAATAATAACAAACTGCCACATTTTGTCTTGTAGCAATGTATTAATTATCTAAAGAGAAAAACAAAATTGGCAGTTTGGTTTGTTAAAACCTATTGCTAAATAGCCGTAACCTCAAATTGTGGTGTCTGGCTGAGATTTAACTAAGTAGCTTGAAATTAAAATAACAAGCACCGGGTAACAAACATATAATTGAAAAGTATTACGATTAAAGCTTTCAAAGTTAAAATTAACCATTTGTGAGCAGGTTCAATCTTTAAGTTGTATTTCCTCAGAACTTGAGTTGTGGCAGTCTTGCTCCAACGGTCCTACTAATTATATGCAATAGTTATAGGTTAATTTTAAGTGCATTGTCATCACAGTCCTTTTATCATTACCTATTTATATTTTTAACATATAAAATGTACTATCGGCGGTAATATCACATTAACAATTTTATGCATTTTTCCCCAAAGTGATTTTATCAACCAGGAATTGTTTTTGTGATTAGTTTGCACTGTGAATGAGCTTTAGTGACTGGAATAATGCTATTGTTTTTAATTCTTCCGGTTTTCTTTCCTCTAATCCTTATTATTTTTTACCACAATTGTTGCTATTTAAAAAAATTTTTTAAACACTATGGACATTTTAAATGTAACAGTATTTGGTTTGTTTGATTATCAAACCGCAAAAAACAAAATTTAGGACAAAGTGATACTAAGGGTCAACAGCTGGTATCTGAAATATATTTGCATTATGATGTAGGTTTTTTTTGTGTCTGTGTATACATTGTAACTTTTTT